CATGGATGACCCGGCCCCCACCAGGGACTCCATCCACAGACGAGATAGAGCCATGGCCCCCACCAGGCCCCAGGATCTGGGACGCCGCTGTCTCCAAGGAGCCCTGCAGCCTTGTGGCTACTCTGTTCTGCCACATCCACAGGCCTTTGCCCACTCCTTCGATCCCCTGCCTCTAGACGCGGGTTCCAGTAACCACATGTCTGCACCTGCTCCAGGGCAACACATCCTCACCACGATGCTCCCACGGATGCTGGAATACCAACATCCTTCTCCCTGCACTGAAAAAACTTCTGGGAGGATCTAATCTGAATGACGAATTCTTTTTTTTTGGGGGGGGGGGGGTCCGGTAGTGGGGCCTGAACTCTGGGCCTGGGTGCTGTCCCTCAGCTCTTCAGCTCAAGGCTAGCGCTCTACCACTTGAGCCACAGCGCCACTTCTGGCTTTTTTTTTCTTTTTGCTTATGTGGTGTTGAGGAATCGAACCCAGGGACTCAGGCATGCAAGGCAAGCGCTCTACCACTGAGCCACCTTCCCAGCCCCACGAATTCTTTTTTATGTTGTTGTGGTTGTCGGTCGTGGGGCTTGAACTCTGGGCCTGGGCACTGTCCCTGCACTCTTCAGCTCAAGGTAGAGTGCTTACCCCTTGAGCCACAGCGCCACTTCCAGTTTTCTAGTGGTTTATTGGAGATAAGAGTCTCATGGACTTCCCTGCCAGGGCTGGCTTTGAACCGTGATCCTCAGAGCTCAGCCTCCTGAGTAGCTAGGATGACAGGCGTGAGCCACCCGCGCCCGGCTTGAATTACGAAGTCTTGTGGTGTTGCACCACAGGCTCTGGATGCCTCTCGTCTGCTTGGTCCTGGGCTGTCACGGGTGATGGCCCTGACGCACAGCATGTAAGACGTAGTCTGTGTGTGCTGGGACCGGGTCGGGCGCTGGCCAGGGCGGCAGCGCACCGCTGTGTGTGCCCTGTTCACACAGCGCCCGCATGCAGGAAACGCCAGCGAGGCACCGACGCCCTGCAAGAGCGTGCGGATGCATGGGACTCGGGGGAACACGCGCTCCCCGACACACCAGAAATGCCGGAGGCCTCCCGCTATGGGGCACACCCGAGCGCGCGGGTGTGACAGAGGTGGACAGCTTGTCCACCGCCTGCTGGTCCCTCACCAAGACCCCTTCCTTGTTCAGCCGGCCCCCGGCGAGTCGCCCTCTGACGCCTCACTTCCTGCGAGCTGCCCGGGGCCGCGCGCTGGCCGTGAGATTTGAGAGAGAGATGCCACACGCAGGGAGGGCTGCCGTCCCAAGTGAGCCCAGCCCTTCCCCTGTGGCTTCCGGCCTCGTATTCCTCGGGTAGGGGTGTGCGGCCGTGCTGGGCACACCAGCGTGACAGTCACGCGCTTGGAGAATGGCTGGAGCTGGGGCACCCACGGCTCCTCACCCACCCCGCTTCCTCCCCTGGCACAGGGACTTGTGACGAGATGGGGACACTAACTGTTAGGAGGAATCTGAGACACGACAGAACAAGCACCAAGCGTGGGCCCACAGGGACTCCGTCCTGACAGGCCACCCACTAGAACATTCCAGAAATTTCTTTACGTTAAAACAGAAAACAAAGCTAAACTGTATCCTTATGGAGCCCACTTGGTGCACCCCAGGCTACCCGCCAGACAGCTACAACCACAGCCCTGCGAGGTTCCTGCCCACACCGTGAAATGTTAGAAGTCACTGTGTGGTGAGACCGAGAATCAAACCGGTCAGTGTGAGATTTATAGGACGCAGCAATGAAACCACTACAGGTCTCTGTCACTTTGTAAAGCATTTCCTACATGCTGTGTTTTCACCTCTGCAGAGATGACCCCGCAATGCCGGGACAAGAACCCCACGTCCCCCTGCTATGCCCTGCTCTGAGCCTTCGGGTCACGTCCACGAGCTGGTCTGCACCGTGCCAGGCAGAGGGGAGGTGTGCCAGGCAGAGGGGAGGTGTGCCAGGCAGAGGGGAGGTGCAGCCCCACTGAACCAGCTGCAGCATGGGACAGGGCTGTCTCACCCATGCGTAGGTGCACCAAGTAGGGCTGGGGAAGGGGCACACGAGGCCCAGGTCTGAGAGGTTGCCATCAGGGAAGAGGGTGCAGAAGCGAGTTCCACCAACACATCAGAGGGCTGGCAGGCGGTGTGGCTGAGGGGAGGGCTGGCCTGTCCTGGCACTGCCAGCCCACAGGCCCCCAACAGGACTTTCAGATCTAGACATATGCACAGTGAGTGCCCTCACCACCTCTCAACGTGAATTGCTCCTAGTTTAAAACCATAGGAAAGAACAAACACTGCATGTCCTTGGAGGTACCTGTCTCTGGAGATGCCCGTTCCTGGAGATGGCCATCCCTGGAGCTACCTGTCCCTGGAGCTACTTGTCCCTGGAGCTACCTGTCTCTGGAGCTACCTGTCCCTGGAGCTACCTGTCTCTGGAGCTACCTGTCCTTGGAGCTACTTGTCCCTGGAGATGCCTGTCCCTGGAGCTACCTGTCCCTGGAGCTACCTGTCTCTGGAGCTACCTGTCCTTGGAGCTACCTGTCCCTGGAGATACCTGTCCCTGGAGCTACCTGTCTCTGGAGCTACCTGTCCTTGGAGCTACTTGTCCCTGGAGATGCCTGTCCCTGGAGATGCCTGTCCCTGGAGGTACCTGTCCCTGGAGATGCCTGTCCCTGGAGATGCCTGTCCCTGGAGATGCCTGTCCCTGGAGGTACCTGTCCCTGGAGATGCCTGTCCCTGGAGGTACCTGTCCCTGGAGATGCCTGTCCCTGGAGATGCCTGTCCCTGGAGGTACCTGTCCCTGGAGATGCCTGTCCCTGGAGCTACCTGTCTCTGGAGGTACCCGTTCCTGGAGCTACCTGTCCCTGGAGCTACCTGTCCCTGGAGATGCCCGTTCCTGGAGCTACCTGTCCCTGGAGCTGCCTGTTCCTGGAGCTACCTGTCCCTGGAGCTACCTGTCCCTGGAGATGCCCGTCCCTGGAGGTACCTTCTTCTCTCACACACATTCAGCTGGGCTCATTTCTTGACACCAACTTCCCCATTAGGCGCTTGTCACGAGTCATTTAGAGAGCTCAACACAGGCACAATGGCTACTCTCACTTTGTTTAGTCACAAAGGCTTTACCCCAGTCAGATGCTGCCCCAGACACATCTCCTTTTTTTTGGTTGGTCATGGGGGCTGAACTCTGGGCCTGGGCACGTCCCTCAGCGCTTCAGCTCAAGGCTAGTGCCTACGACTTGAGCCACAGTGCCACTTCCGGCTTTTTTCTTCTTATGTGGTGCAGAGGAATCGAACCCAGGGCCTCATGCATGTGAGCACTCTACCACTGAGCCACCTTCCCAGTCCCTCTCCCTCTACTTTAAGAAAGGTCCCTTCAGGCCAGGCAAGGCTGTGAGACTCATACTTCCAATTACACACACACACACACACACACACACACACACACACACACAAGTCTGTGAGACTCATACCTCCAATTACCCACACATACACACACCAGAAGTAAAGCTATGACTCAAGTGGTAGAGTGCTAGCATTGAGCAAAAAAAAAAAAAAAGAAAGGAAGGAAGGAAGGAAGGAAGGAAGGAAGGAAGGAAGGAAGGAAGGAAGGAAGGAAGGAAGGAAGGAAGGAAAAGGCAAGCTCAAAGGCAGTGACCAGATGCTGAGCTCAAGGCCAAGACCAACGCAAAAGATTTCAGAAAAGAGTCCCTTCAGAAAAGCATTTTCTCAGATGTCACCCTCAGCACGTTTACTTAATTCTGCAGATTTGGGGGAGTCCATCTGATAAAGAGATACTGAAGTTCAAGGCAGATATTGAAACTGCATAGTGTAACTCTTCCTTTCCTTGAAGACATCTCCAGCACAATGATGAGATTACCATCATCTCTAGTGGAGGGGCGGGGGAGGAGGGAGCCAGGCCTTTACAGGGTATGCAAAGGTCCAGCTAGTGATGACACAGTCCCACAGAAGAAGCTGGGAGTAATCTAGAAAATCATCTGCCAGATGACTGCAGAGCACTAGAGAACACTACAATTATGACAGGAAAGCACTTAGTCTCCCCTCAGTTGGGGGACACTGCATATATACATTCAGAAAGGGCTCCTGGAAAAGCAAATGAGCAGATCTTTCCATAGGCAATGCCCAGCCGGCCGCCCTCTGGGCTAATGTCTGTGCAGACACAAGCCTCTCCTTCCAGGACTCATGGCCCCTGCCTGGCTCCTGTGCCCTCTTCTCAGCCGCATTACCTAATTACACGTTTTCAAGCCAGATGTGTGTGTCTGCACTGAGGCTGAGGGAGAACACCATGTTCAGCCACAGGGAATGCTTAAAGACTGATAGACAAAGAACAAAACTGGGGGAACCACAGGCAGGACTGAATTTGCACAGATGTGTGAGCCACACATTGTGATGGCAGTGGTGGAGTTACATGTGGAGGTGTGTGTGCACACTCAGATACATGTACACATGCGCAGACAGCACACACAATGCACTCATGGGTCTGCGTGTATCACACATGTGCGTAGTGCTGTGCATACATGTGCACACTTGTGTTACATAGATTATGTGTGAGTGTGCATGGCCACGCGTGTGCGTGCCGGTGCTCTTGTGTCTGTGCTTTGTATTTTCTTGAGAGCCCCTGGTTCTCCTGGCTTCAGATGCTTTGTGAGTCTCTCCCGGGTAATCCTGGATTTAAATTGAACTTGAACTGCCTCACCTCATCCATTTGGAGTCCCTTGGGAGAAAACCAGGCCCATTTGGAGAGAAAGCACTTTATAAACATAACTGAAGATTGCTTGGCCCTGGGGCAAGTGCTTATGTAAACACAAAATTCAACCTGAGGTTTTCACCGGAGAGTTCCAATCACCTGCACGTGGGCTCAGACTGGGCAGGACTGTTCTACTTACAGAGAGAGCTGTGCATTTCAGCCCTGAAGAAGGCAGAGGAGAGAGGCGGCCACAGCCTGCTCCCTGCACTCACCGTGGTCATGGGCAAACACCAGCAGGTCCAGCCTCAGCAGCATCTGAGCCAGGTCTTCATAGCGGCCACAGTGCTCCCCGGCGCCATGGGACACAAAGACCAGGGCCCTGGAGGGGAGAGGGAGCCGGTCAGGAAGGCACAGCTGGAACCTGAACTCAATTCACAGCCCTTAGCATTATCCCGCTACTGGTCCTCAGCTCCAGCCCAACCTGAGCTCCTCCCTGCCCTAAAGTTCCCACCATATAGCTGGCCACTCCCTCTCTCCAACAACCCTAGACCTTCCTGCAAATGCCACTACCCCCAGAGCTACCCACCCAGACGAGAGCTGATGCCATTCTGCTCCCCTCCTGGGGAGATGTGGCCCCTCTAATAAACCTTACAGTTGTGTTTCCCCTGGCCCGCCCGCCGCTGTGGTCCCCTGGGACGTCTGTGATGGATCCTAACAGTGGCCACGTGGGAGCGGGGGCTCCTGAGCCGCCCTGGGTGATGAGAGCCAGGCGCCAGGCCCAGCACTGCGCCCTGGGTGATGAGAGGCAGGCCCAGCACTGCGCCTGGGTGATGAGAGCCAGGCCCAGCACTGCGCCCTGGATGATGAGAGCCAGGCCCAGCACTGCGCCCTGGATGATGAGAGCCAGGCCCAGCACTGCGCCCTGGGTGATGAGAGTGAGGCCCAGCACTGCGCCCTGGGTGATGAGAGCCAGGCGCCAGGCCCAGCACTGCGCCCTGGGTGATGAGAGCCAGGCACCAGGCCCAGCACTGCGCCCTGGATGATGAGAGCGAGGCCCAGCACTGCGCCCTGGATGATGAGAGCCAGGCCCAGCACTGCGCCCTGGGTGATGAGAGCCAGGCCCAGCACTGCGCCCTGGGTGATGAGAGGCAGGCCCAGCACTGCGCCCTGGGTGATGAGAGCGAGGCCCAGCACTGCGCCCTGGGTGATGAGAGCCAGGCCCAGCACTGCGCCCTGGGTGATGAGAGCCAGGCCCAGCACTGCGTCCTGGGTGATGAGAGCCAGGCCCAGCACTGCGCCCTGGGTGATGAGAGCCAGGCCCAGCACTGCGCCCTGGGTGATGAGAGCGAGGCCCAGCACTGCACCCTGGATGATGAGAGCGAGGCTCAGCACTGCGCCCTGGGTGATGAGAGCCAGGCCCAGCACTGCGCCCTGGGTGATGAGAGGCAGGCCCAGCACTGCGCCCTGGGTGATGAGAGTGAGGCCCAGCACTGCGCCCTGGGTGATGAGAGCCAGGCCCAGCACTGCGCCCTGGGTGATGAGAGGCAGGCCCAGCACTGCGCCCTGGGTGATGAGAGGCAGGCCCAGCACTGCGCCCTGGGTGATGAGAGCGAGGCCCAGCACTGCGCCCTGGATGATGAGAGCCAGGCCCAGCACTGCGCCCTGGATGATGAGAGCCAGGCCCAGCACTGCGCCCTGGGTGATGAGAGTGAGGCCCAGCACTGCGCCCTGGGTGATGAGAGCCAGGCCCAGCACTGCGCCCTGGGTGATGAGAGCCAGGCCCAGCACTGCGCCCTGGGTGATGAGAGCCAGGCCCAGCACTGCGCCCTGGATGATGAGAGCCAGGCCCAGCACTGCGCCCTGGATGATGAGAGCGAGGCCCAGCACTGCGCCCTGGATGATGAGAGCGAGGCCCAGCACTGCGCCCTGGATGATGAGAGCCAGGCCCAGCACTGCGCCCTGGGTGATGAGAGCCAGGCGCCAGGCCCAGCACTGCGCCCTGGGTGATGAGAGGCAGGCCCAGCACTGCGCCCTGGGTGATGAGAGCGAGGCCCAGCACTGCGCCCTGGATGATGAGAGCCAGGCCCAGCACTGCGCCCTGGGTGATGAGAGCCAGGCCCAGCACTGCGCCCTGGGTGATGAGAGGCAGGCCCAGCACTGCGCCCTGGGTGATGAGAGCCAGGCGCCAGGCCCAGCACTGCGCCCTGGGTGATGAGAGGCAGGCCCAGCACTGCGCCCTGGGTGATGAGAGCGAGGCCCAGCACTGCGCCCTGGATGATGAGAGCCAGGCCCAGCACTGCGCCCTGGGTGATGAGAGCCAGGCCCAGCACTGCGCCCTGGGTGATAGAGGCAGGCCCAGCACTGCGCCCTGGGTGATGAGAGGCAGGCCCAGCACTGCGCCCTGGGTGATGAGAGCCAGGCGCCAGGCCCAGCACTGCACGTGGAGGTGGCATGAGGGCTGAGCTGTCCTCAGAACCACACGGACCTCCACTGCCACGGTGAGCTGCTGCCTGGGTTCCGGGACTCTGCTCTGGCCAGGACAACCATCCTCACAAGTCTGTGTCTCCCACCCCTCCCCAGACCCATCCTGAAGCGCGTCTGGAAGCGTGAAGCCAAACCTGTGTTCGGGCAGTTGGGACCCCCAGGATATCCCCACCCCAGCAGACCCATCCACCTGCCCCGTCCCTGCCAGCTCTGCACCCCTCCCCGTGCCCAGATCTGAGCCTGGGTGCTGGCCCAGTGGGCAAGGCCTGCCTACCTGAGCCCCGCCCCCCATCCGCTGGACCTCTGTGGCTGGGTGGTCCCTGTGTGGCCGGCTCTGACCTCAGCAGTGGGGACGCCCACTCAGGTAGCTGGGCGGGGGGGGGGTCTCTCAGTTAGAGCCATGCCCCCAGCCAGGAAACCCGCAGGTCACCTGACTAGAGACTTGGCCATCAGGCCCCAGGTCCCAGGCTGGAGCCTCCAGAGCCAGCCAGGCTGCGCTGGTGAGCAAGTGGCCACCATGGCCCCTCCTCCTGCTCCCTCAGCTCCCTCCCTCCCCCCCAGGTCTAACCTGGCTAGGCTTCCAGCCTCCATACCTGTCCCCAGGGTGAACATTCAACCCTGGCTGCTGCCTGCCATGTGGAAGCTCTCCTTTGTGTTTGCACAGAATATTGGGATCACGTGTCTGCTTGGAAAATGCCAGGACCAGCACGCCACGTGAGTGGCTCTACCTCATGGCTGCCGGAAGGCTGTTCAGAGCACTGTGAAGGGGTCACGGCACATGGACCCTGCCAGGTCGCCTGACGCGGTGAGAAGGAGAGGAAGAGGCCCGTGTGTCCCAGGATGGCAGCCACCACAGCACAGGGCCATCTGGAAGCATGGCTGAGCTTGCTGGAGCCAGGCCTGGGAGCTACAGACCATTGTCAACCCTGCCAGCTAGCTTAGAGTCAGAGACAGACCTCCACAGGCCCAGGGCATGAGGCTGTGCTGTGAGGGGCAAAATGAGGGACCCCAAGGCCAGGCCTGGGGAGAGCCGTCCAGGCCTGAGGAGAGCCGTCCAGGTAGGCGGACACGGTGCCCAGTCCAGGCCCAGAAGGGGAGCTGGTGTCAAGGCACTGTGGAGAGGAGGCCCCGGCGTCCTCTGCAGGGAGAGCGGGAGCTGGGCAGGTGGTGACCCTGCATGACCTCAGGTTTGGGAAGCTCACAAGCTAAGTGCTGCTGGGATCAGGAACAGGGATGGTGTCTGTCCCATCTGACAGGCCAGTGCCCCCGAGCCGGAGCCCCCGCGGCTGAAGAGGAGGCTTCTGAAGAAGAGGCTGCAGAAATCTTTTTCCTGGAGCTTCCCTTGGGGCTGGAGCCAGCCGGAGGGAGCGTCATTGGGAAGAGGCCGGCAGCGGGCGGGGCAGCCCCAGAAGCAGATGGCCTCCCTGGCAGCCGGCCCTGGAGGCGGGTCCCACCCAAGTCGAGTGCTTGAAGCCCCGAGATGAACAAGACGCAGAGCGCAGAATGTATAAACTCGCCTGCTCGCCCTGCCCACCAGGGTGGCATGGCTTTTCTTCCCCCAGCCAGCATCCCCCATTTCTGAATTGCTTATTTTAGGTGACCTAACTTGGCTGACTTGTCTGTGAAGTGGGGAGCCACTGTGAGGTAAGACTGTTCTAGGTTGTTCTGGCCTCTGGAAAGCCCTCCGTGTTGTCCCTGTGAAGTGGGCTCCCTCTGCACCCGTGCCAGGCAGCTGTGGCTCACTGTGGGCCTCGATGCCTCCACCGGTGCACTGGGGGCGGGCGCAGGGGCACAGGCCTCTACCCGCCTGCCACGCCGGTGCACTGGGGGCGGGCGCAGGGGCACAGGCCTCTACCCGCCTTCCACGCGGGTGCACTGCGGGGCGGGCGCAGGGGCACAGGCCTCTACCCGCCTTCCACGCCGGTGCACTGGGGGCGGGCGCCTTCCACGCCGTGCCACGCCGGTACACTGCGGGGCAGGCGCAGGGGCATGGGCCTCTACCCGCCTTCCACACCGGTGCACTGCGGGGCGGGCGCAGGGGCACAGGCCTCTACCCACCTTCCACGCGGGTACACTGCGGGGCGGGCGCAGGGGCACAGGCCTCTACCCGCCTGCCACGCCTTCCACGCGGGTGCACTGCGGGGCGGGCGCAGGGGCACAGGCCTCTACCCGCCTGCCACGCCTTCCACGCGGGTGCACTGGGGGCGGGCGCAGGGGCACAGGCCTCTACCCGTCTTCCACGCGGGTGCACTGCGGGGCGGGCGCAGGGGCACAGGCCTCTACCCGCCTGCCACGCCGTGCCACGCCGGTGCACTGGGGGGCGGGCGCCTTCCACGCCGTGCCACGCCGCGCCAGGCTTCGAGAGGAGAACCTGACCTTCCGGCTGAAGACCTGCCCTGTGAGAGGCCTGGGAAGGCAGCGGCTGTGGGCAGTGAGCCCGGGCAGATGGAGCCCATTCCTACCACAGGGCCGCAGGGTGGCTCCCCGGGGACACACTGTGAACTCAAGCCCCAGTGACCTGCACACCGCCGTGAGGGGCGCGCTGCTCTGAGCTCTGGCATCTTTCAGAAACAGCCGCTGGCTCCCTGAGTCCCTTTATCAGCCATATCCACCCCAGACTCCCCCTGCCTGCCAAATCTCCTGGCTTTAAAACGAGTCAATCTATCGCAGGCTGGGTGTGAGCCTCCAGAGCAGCAGCGGGAGGAACCCTCAGGTCTGAGTTTTGTCCTCCCCACCCCCTGCCCGCCCGCCCCGTGGGGGAGGGGGAGGCAGGGCTCCGCGGCCTCTCCCCACGGGGACCCCAGGGCTCCGCGGCCTCTCCCCTTGGAGGCCCATGGCTCCAGCTCCACCTCCCCACCCCCATCTCTCACAGAGGACAAGACAAGAGTAAAGCCA